TAAACATATTTAAAAATGACTCGCTCCATAATTTTACCTACGCAGCTTAATAATGATACAGGTCTATAATTTGATAATAATGATGGGTCACCTTTTCTAAATAAAGGAAGTACATTAGCTACTTTCAACTGTTTAGGAAATACACATTCTCTTAAAGATCTATTTAACAGAATACACAAGGGAAATGAGACGCTAAAAATAGTAGCTTTTAACATTTTATGACTAATATTGTCAGGTCCTATGGCCTTGTTCACAGGGAGAATAGAAATTATATCAATAATGTCTTGCTCAACTATTTCAATACTATTAAGAACACTATTACACAATAAAGAAAAAAAAACTGGTAATGCAGGTTCGACATCCTGCGACGACGAAATCGAAGCAAAATAGTTGTTTGCCATCTCTTTTTTTCATATTATTAACTTTGTTCCGTAGTTTTTTAAACTTATCCAAATCTGAAAATTTTTTTGTTTTGTGGGCTTTATTTCTTGCGCGATTTCTCATACGAACTGTTTTCCGCATTGCGGAATCAAACCAGGGTTTATCTTTAGGCCTTAAAGTTACTATTTTTTCGGTGTGTTTAGTGTATCAAAATCTGCATTTTTGTATAGCCATATTTTCCTATCATATGATTGTTTTTGTATTGTATGTGATTTAATATAGATGTATGTGCCTTTGTGGTCGCTGAGAGAGTGTTCAACGTCTATTGTCCCAGAGTCCAATACATCGACGTGTAGATTTTCGCTAACAAGAATTGGGTCTATGAGAGATTTCGTGTTTTTCATGACTCTAGTTGCGTCGCATACTGTATTTGGAAAGGAGTATTTTAAGAGAATTTCATTGACTACATGTGTGATTTGGAGATTTAGAAAGTTTACATTTACGTCACCTAAGATTACAATTCTATCGGATATATCAACAGCTTTTTCAAGGGACCATTTAAACTTTTTCCAAAATGAATTATCGGAGTTAGGAGGACGATACACACAGCAGAGGAGAATAGTGCAGGTAGGATCGCTGATTTCTACCCATATACATTCAAGGTTCAAAGGTTCAAGATCTGGGCATCTTTTAACCCGCAACGAGTCAGATGCATATATAATTACACCGCCCCCAAATGAGTTTCTATCTTTCCGAAAAATTGAGTTGAATCCGTCAATGGAAATATCTTCGTTTAAAATGTTAACATCGAGATGGGTATCAATGAAACTTAAAATATCAAAATCTTAAACAATGCTCAGAAACTTATCAAATTTGTTTCTTATACTTTTTACATTTAAATGAAAAATGTCCAGTGTGGATTGGGTAATTTGAGATGGCCCTGGATTTGTCTCTATCACCTGACAACAATATAAATTATTAATTAAGTACATAATTTGTAACACATAATTAAAAAAAAATAACTTCTATTGCGCCTTTTGACAGTAAAAATTTGGTATTTTTAAAAATATACTTCAGACACTCAATCAAAAAATTATTAAATCGTAGTACAGAAAATAGCAGTGATTTTGATGTACATCTACATTTACAATATTGTTCAATTGTATTACCCATTGTCAAGAGATAAAGAGAAGTGTTGAGGTTGTTTGAATCAGCCGCAAGGAGACATATTATAAATAAACATGCACAATGTTTTGTTTGACCTTTGATTATAAGTAATAACGAAAAAAACATTGAAAAAAGGTTTCGGTAAAAAGAAAAAACAAAACAAAACAAAAACAAAAAAAAAAAAAAAAAAAAAAAAACAGAAAAAAAAAAAGAAAAAAAGAAAAATGGTACGAGTCGCAAGGCAAAATAAAAGGCTTGTTGACAGATACTCGGTCCATTGTTGAAAAAATTATGCACATTGATACATATACTGCTACACATAAGAGCAGCATGATTAAGACAGTTAGAAGGGAAAAAAGGGGGAACAATTTATAACATATCATGCATTAATAATTTACGAAACCTTTCTTACATTAAGAATGCAATTTTTTTTATGCATTAAGAATACATTTTATAAAGGAATACATTAACAGCAGATAAAAAAAAACTGTATCTACCCAAAAGAAAAAAAAACAAAAACAGAACCGCACAAGTATAATCATTTTAATACTCAGATCCTGAACCTGGAGCAATAAGGTCAAGGTCATTAAAGGTGCGGATCAGTTGTTTTGGACCCATCTCCTCGACCTTCACAAAAATGCGTCCGTCGTTCGTCCAGTACGAAATCTATCACTTCCGCTTTTTTCGCCTTAGACAACTCATGAACTATTCCTTGACGGTATCTCGTGAGGTCTTCTGTAATAAATAGGGACGTGCCTTTGAGTTTCGTTTCGCTGAATATACATTGTTTTTTTCACTTTCCGGTTTTTAAATTTGCAAATAATTTGAATGTTCCCGTTGGCATTGGGTTTACCGATAGGGTGGGATCTGGAAATATCGTCCTCCTTTAAACCAAATCTGGCCAATACAGGGACCAGCTGATTCATGATATTTTGATCACACAAAGCTGAATATATAAGACCTGGTAGACTGTATGTTTGTCCCTCAGATTGTGTAAGGGGGGTTTGGGCAATAGGACTGGGACTGGGCTCTGTGGTTGTAGAATAAAATTCTGGTTGGCTAGCACTTAAAGAAGCAATTACAGATGCACATATAGGTGCATTAGTCAAAGAATTTGAACATACAGAGGTCAATTCAGGATTGGCTTCCAAATTGTCCATATTGTCCTGGGTGCCAGAAGAATTTGCTAAATTTAGATCTGGGAGCGATGCAGACAAAAACCTTTTGCAGGATGTCTTGTTTTGGTTTTATGATGGGCTGGTAAGTTTTCTCCTGGAATTTTTGGATTTCTTGTTATATAACTACTATTGTTGGAACTTGACACGACATGAGTTCATCTCACACAACAGCACAGAATGTTTTGGTTTTAAACTTTATCAGTGGAGTTTTTACTGAATATTTTTTATATCATTTCATCAAAAACAACTTAATGAAGTGTTGCATCTGTGAATTATCAAATTTCACACACAGAATTAAGACATACCCCGTTTTTTCCCTCCCGATCGAAACTAAATGCCAATACTAGACGCCATCTTTAATTACCTCTCTCTCTATATATAGTATATTATTAATCTTAAGAGATACGATTATTTGATTGTAAGCACGGGAGAACTTAAAAAAATACATGTATGAAAAATTGCACGCACTGAGAAACCTTGTTTAATTCTTGAAAAAAAAATTACTTCAGTATCGACAAACATTGAATTACAGACTAAAATAATGAAATTCTTTGCATAATTCTTTAAAGCTCCTAATAATTCTTATGTCGACGCTTTTTTTTTTTATCAATTTCTTTCTAACATGTACACATGTATAATGACGCCAGATATAAACAATATAGTTTCCACATTAGAATATTGTGAAGTCCTACTCTTAAAGTTTTGCGACCTAGCTTTTTTTGCAAATATTTCTCACCGGTAACAATTTATTTTATGTATATAAAAAGATTTTTTAGACGTGAAAATTAGTCGACGCCGATAGATATACTGTCTAGTATTCTTCAAGATAAGCCATGAAAATGTTTTAAAAAGAGAGTTTTTTTTATAGCACACAAAACTAGTTGAAATATAGCTTGAATGTGTAAAATGTGAAATCAATAAGTAATAACACAACATAGTATATGATACATACATGTGAGCTAGCCCGGCTTGAAGGGATACTATACTGTTTAACTTGTGATCATTAGAGTTTGTATTTTGACATTTATTTATTTCAAACTTGTTGTCCATATGTTTTAGAGATGTCTTAGATGTAATACTTTTCGTACCAGTGTTCTACTTAGATTTATGAATCAGAATGTCGATTCCATACATCGAAGAGATACATAGTTAACATGAATTATAATATATATGCAACAACGCAGCTAGGTTAAGGACTCCCATATATACGGCAGCCTATGCAGAGGTTCGGTAATGCTATTATGACGTCACGTTAAAACAATACAAATGAATCTCGATGAATAAATACTATATGTTCTTTTTAAAACACATTAAATACTTTCGTTTATCATTAATATTATAAAGATAAATGGATGTGCAACTTATCTTGCCATAATAGCACTTAGCGTATGTAGAATGAAAGCCAGCTTGATCTCGCTGTACTTACTGAGATGACGTCATTTCTTAGTTTGACACGCAGTTTCTCTGTACTTGAGGCGTGGATCAAGCTTTTATCGTAGCTTGTAAAAATAAAGATAAATACGAAACACGCGTAGTCGGACCAAAAGAGAGAAATATTCTGAAATATATTAATCCATATTTTATTGTCAAACTAAATTGATAATGTGTAGACTTTATATTAGGCCGTAGGGAGCACATTTGTACAGTAACATGCTAGAATGACAGGTCCACCCCCTCGAAAATATCAAAAGTTCAACGATATCCGCTTCACTATAAATTCTAAATTTTTAAACACGTGTAGCTATTATCCCTACTATTCTGAAAAGTGCTGGGAGCTGGTTGTGCTTTGTTGATTTATTCCGTAATGTAACATTATTCCAATGCGAATTACATTTTTGACTGGAGTTTTTAGAAAGACGGCTAAATTTCAAACAATTCCCGAGCATGAGGAAGTTGCTCCCAGCACTTTTCGTGTTAAGGAATTTGTCTCAAAGAAAACAGAATAAATTTTATAGCGTAAAAATGCCCGTATATCGTTGAACTTTTACGATCTTTGTAGTAGTACATATATGTTCTAATTTTAAAATTGTCACGTGACAAACAGCTGATGTAAGCGATGTCGTTTTGGCCGAACTCAGCAGAGACCCTATATATACAAGTGCAAACACCACATATCACATTTATCAAAACTAATGCTGTTAAAAAAAATATTAAAATTGTATTCATTTTCCCTGAATATATTAAGGCGTATATTTCATGGGCGTCCTTAACCTAGCTGCGAATTGTAAAATGAGTAATTTCAGTTTTGATCCTTTATTCAAATTAATATCCATTTCATAATGTTTTTAGCTGAAGATTGGAATAATGGGTTTTATTTTCTGATTCCCCAATTTCCTGGTAATTGTGGATGTCATCTGCTTGCAATTGGTTTGTATGGATCTCGGTTCTTGAAATATATTTTTGTGATCCAGCACTCTTTCCTTTCAAAATCTTTGCAATTTGTTTCCTAAAATAATTATAAAGACCCTTACAGATGTAAAATCAATTAAAATCATTACATAGATATATATAGTGGTTCAATTTATCTTTTTTTAAATTCTCATTTCTTTTTTTAGTATAGGCCTTGTGTTTTCGAGACGAATAAAAATAAAGATTTAAAACAATTTTAATCCAATTTACTTTATCCAACTTCAAACACCCAAGTATGAGAGAACATGATTGTCTTGAAATACACAACATGGATATACAGTGTACTCGCATAAATATATATTAGTTTGCATTGCTGCAGACTGGTCGTTTTTCACCTTTAAATGTATTTTCACCGCCTGTTAAAGAACAATTACAAAAATATATCAACGTTTGTAAAAAGAATATATTTAAGCTCTTAGACTTTGCTGCAATAATAATTTGACAAATTGTGGATCTGCAGACGTATAATATTCAAACAATTCTTTTGTCTTGTCATCCGAAATATAAAGAAAGATGCTGAGGCCCTAACCGTGCCCCGGAGTTATTACATGTATTTGTGCAAAATTAATTTTATACTACATGATAATTATGCTAATTTCACTACACGTTATTATGACCTGATTGTTCTAAAAGAAAATATTTTACTATATCAATATATGACTGCTTGGCCATGGTTTGAATGAACAGATACAATTTTGTTTGGTAGATACTGGTCTCCGTGCACTCATTTCGCAACACGAATGACTGTTGATTGTTGCTTAAAATCCGACTAAAGTCACGTGATTTGAAAATCCAGTTTTGAGATGCATGAATATTAATCTGAATATAACTGGAAAAATAGGTTGTTTTTCTTTCTCAAAAAAAAAAAAAATTGTCCCACAGTTCTTGTGCACACAATAAGATTGTGAAAAATTAACAGAAAGAAGCACCTTTAATCAGTAAATTTTGTCTTGCCTTTAGTTCAGACTATAGCCAAACACATTTTCTTTCAATGTTACACAACTGCATCACATATATCAACGAATGTCAAAAATTAAATACCTTTTTAAAGCAGCAATGAAAACCAGGCAAAATACGTTGAAAATTCCAGACATAACTAATGCAGCCATCAGTGCTGTACTTGATGATTCATTTGATTTTTCGTATATTTGATCTGAAAAAGAGTGCATTTGTACCAAGGATTATAGTCAATATTTTATATAATTAAAGTAAATCAATATTTGATTGTCATCTCATGTGTCGTGTGTTAATGATGCACATTGAAGTGGTAAAATTTTCCCGTTTAATGGAACGTTTTAAGCTTTCCATTGAAGGTTTGTTGTTACTCAATAACAAGCCAATTTCTTTAGAAAAAAAGAGAAAATTTTTGGAGATGCCTCATTGGAATACCTGTTGAACAGGTATTCAATAAATACTTATAAATGTAGTAGCCTTGTTGAGTACTTCAATAAACATGATAAATACAGAATTATGCACAAAACTCGCCTTGCTAGTTGAAGAAAATGTGATGTCAAATATGATACGTGATATATATATGAGATATATACAAATAGTGACATCTCATTTCTATTTAAAAAGGAGCGTGTCACTATGCAACCTTCGACGCCCAATAAGAAAGACTAAAGCATTCCATTCAAACGAAGTCAATGCGCATCATCGTAATATCTTGATATCTATAGGATACGACCCCCATTTCCCTTTCTTTTGTACCTTTCCTTTGTCATGTAAGTTTTTGGATTTTTTGAATGTAAAATAGATTGTTTATTATGCTGAAAATGAAACTGAGATGACGGTCAAATATACTATCTTATGAAATATTAAAGGTTACTTGGAATATCACATCTAAGACCGCTGAACGAGTCTTTGCATCCGCGTGGACATGTTCCATTAATTCTGTGGCACGTATCATTAAGCTTACTGTGTTGACTACAAATATGGCCACAATTCGGTCCATAAAACCCGGATGGACATTCTGTAAAAGAATGGTAAATGAAATTAAAAAATCAATAATATAATATAGTAAGATTCATAGTTATGAGGACAAATGCATATGGTAGTTTATGACTTGTACCTGTTGTACAGTGTGGTGATCCTCTCAGTCCATGTGAACAAATACAGGTTCCATCAACATGACTACATTCACTTATGCATTTGGATGAGCATTTACTTATACAGTATTCACCATAATGCCCAGAGTCGCATCCTACGATAGAAGAGAAATACCTGTACATTAAACCACATTTCTTTAATTGATCGATTAATTGATAAAAAAAAAAAAAAAATATCCAGTCACTTCGCAATAATTTATGAAAAGTTTTAAAAAAAACGTAATCACCAAGTAGCTTCTTTAATCTATTGAAATTAATTTATTTTTTATACAATTGTATTTTTTTTTAAATAATGAAGAAGGCACAGTTCCATTTTGATTTTAAATAATTAGTCTTACGTGTTTGACAGTAATTCCCTATCCATCCTGGCTTGCATCCTGGACATACCCCTGTGATAATGTTACATTTGCTCCCATAACAGCCCCCTGGGCACTTTTTGTGACATCTTTCTCCATAGACACCAGCCAATTTACAACCTAAAAATCATGTTAACTTCATACTTTAACTGCCAAGAGGGAAGTATCTTTGTAACGGTGCAAGCGCGGGGATGATCCATTCTCTCACCGATTTTGGCTCCAATTATAACTAAGTGGCTATTCTATTAACATAACTAACCTGAACTCAAAAAACGTAGCAAGGCAAGTCATGTTCTGAGCCAAAAATATGCAGATTAATCCATATATCAGTCATTTTTCATGTATTTCAAAATCGCAACTTGAATTTATCCGCCATGTTTACTGACCTTGATCGATTTTATTTTGGGAAAGCCAATGAGAATTTGGGATCTAGGGGACGGATCTATTTTAAAAAAATTCCTTATTTTAATCATAAATATCCCTGTTTACTAAAAATATTTCACATTGAATGCGTTTATTTATCAATGTTTTGTAATACCGTTCAACACAAGTATTTATCAAAACCGACATCTACTTAAACAAGCATAGTTTATCTAATTTTCAAATGGAAGTTTCTGAGCATAACGCGAGAACTGCCATGGCTGCTGAGGAAGACGCAGTTTAATTTACCGTATTTCGGTATATATAGGGCTAGGCTGTGCTCCGTTATTAGCCGACCTGTTTTTATATTTCTATGAAGCAGAAAGTATTCAAAAACTTCTACATGAGAAGAAGAAAACATTTGTTGTGGCATTCAACTCGACACTAAGATAATTTGATATGTATTATCTGTTACCAATAGTTACATGTACTTCTGTTCATATGTTGACTCTATATATCCAAGTGGACTTTACATAAAAGACACCATAAAGTCTACCACATCTTTTACATATTTGGATGTTTTACTGACTATAGACGATCAAGGCAAACTAACAACTCATTGTATGACAAACGAGATGACTCATCTTTTCCACCGTCGACTTTCCTTATTCATGTAGTAATACCCCATTATCACCTGCATATTGACTTTTCTTCTCCCAAATTATTCGATACTATCATGCTCCGAGTACGATCAACTTTTTAAACCGAGGAAGGCTAATGGCAGATAACTTGATGCTATACGGATTTCAAAGCCTCGATTAAATTCAACATTTTCTAAATTCTACGGTGATTTAATGATCTTGTTACATGTAGCAAATATAACCTGTCATTGGGTCGTATGTGGACTGACGTGTTTCATACCAAGTGTTAGACCTTAGTTTTTATACTGAATTTGACCACGAAATGCTCCGTCTACATTTTCTATACACAGGGCTCACAGCGGGTGTGACAGGTCAACACCGGATGCTTACTCCTCCTAGGCAGCTGATCCCACCTCCCATCTCACATACTTGTATTGTTTATAGATTTTTTAGATCGATCACTGTTCATTATCTTCTCTTTTCTCATTGTTAATAATTAATGAAAAATCAATCTTTTTGAAAGGAAGTTGAATGCGAAATCACTTTTTTTATTCTACCTGCAGTGGCCAGTTACCAAATATATATTTGCACCATCATGAACATCTTATGGAATTGTAGCCCTCCCCTGAAATATCCGATGAAAATATCGGAGAGTTCTTCATTATTGCAGCTAGAACGTACCTTGCACTATTACCTCACACAATTCAGTGTAAGATAAATATGCGTATCCCTCAGGATATGTGTAGTTCTCTAATCTTTCGTTATAAAAAGTGATATATTGGCCATATCCAATACAGGTTGTTGTGAAGTCTAAGGGAGGCAACTCTGGTCCGTCTTTGTAACACATATACCCTTCATCTTTATTGGTGGAGTTAGATAAATACAGAGCAAATCCCGCAAATCGGCCTCTTTGTCTCTGAACTTAAATATTAATATAATAATGTCATAAGGATATCAAGATAGATAATTTAAACAGGCTTCTCTTTAAAATAAGACGATAATAAAAATTTCGAGAAGAAAAGAAAAATAGTATAATTACAATTGAGAGCAGTGAACAGTGAAGGTAGACTTGATTGATGCTGAATAATTTTTTGGGGGTCACAAAGCAGTACGTATTATTTGTTGATGAATAATTGGCTAAGAAGATGCACATCCTATAAATGGATTTCTACATTATCAATCTTTTCACAATTAAGCTTCAGTTTGTTCAAGCGACGTGTTTGCTTATAATTTCCCTTACTCGTATTGTTTTGGCAAAATGAAAGATTTTGTCATTATCTTGAAATTATTTACCTAATTCCTCTCCATAACCTTTAAATAAAATTCTGATTTTGAACACACTGTAGATGTCTCCTAGATCCACCATCCACCACGTTTCCCTATATGGGGACGCAGAACCAATCTCTCGAGTTCTCATACAGGAACTATTATTTCTATCCACAGCATTGACAGCAGCATAAAATTGTGGCCTCCAGGCAAGATAAGTTGGACCCTGTGAAGCATTCTTGCCAGCAGATAAATCATCTAAAATATAGTAAAGAAACGTTAACATGTACTTGTTCTATTTATTTGTTATTCTGCATATCACATACGCATTATTACCACACACAACAAAATAATAATGACATTTTCAAGTAAAACAAATTACTTTGCAAAATAGCTTGATATATATGATTTCAAAGCCTCCGTGGTTTTAAAGACATATTTAAAATACGGAAGGTATCGTGTGTAAATTGGTGTGCGGAGAAAGTGCCGGAGTAAGTATACTGACAAACAAGTTAATGAAACTGGGATATCATTTCGCAAGTTCTATAGTCGGTACAATGACCTTTTCAGCAAATACGCAAATGAAATCTATCATTAAGTGGAACTCTGACTGATGTTTTTCGTTGAAATTGTTAGGCAATTATTTAAGCACTGAATTGTCTATGGATTTTTCGGTTTGCCCGATCATGACAATGAGCACATGGCGGGTTTGACAAGTCGTCAGGGCTTACTCCTCCATGGTACCTGATCCCACCTCTGATGTTTTCAGAGGTCTGTGATTTGTATTGTTTCAATGGACTTTTGAGTTTTGAGTTGGATTAGTGTTCGTTATCTCCACTGTTGAATAATTATGTAATGCCTTCTACTGATGAGGCCCGTATGGCTCTGAAAACAATTTCTTATTATTCGCAAGGCCAGTCTGATGTTGAAGACGAACTTTTACCGTGTCTACAAAGTCTCAATAATTTCAAAAATTCAATAATAACAAATTAACAAAAAATAAAATAATCAATCAATCAATCAAAGATTAGACTCTTTATGTAAAATAGATATATATTTTATTCTTATATTCTACATATTTACCGTTCACGGTAGCTCAGTCGGTAGAGCGCTCGCTCCGTGATCAGGAGGTCGTGAGTTCGAATCTCGGCCGCAACTGACCTAAGTCGATAAAAAATGGGTAGCAACTGTTCCTTCGCCATGCGCTCGGCACTTTGAAGTGAAAGTTGCGGGTCCTTCGGATGAGAGCTTAAAAACCGAGGCCCGGTGTCACGGCAGGCATTGGCACGATAAAGACCCCTCACTGCTCAATGGCCCTGAGTGCCGGAGTAAAGGTCAAAATTTGAAGCCCTTCACTGGTATATGGTGACGTCTCTATTTGAGTGAAAAATTCTCAAATGGGACGTAAAACAACACACAATCAAACATATATTATACTATGTATTTAAAAAAAAAATTCTTATATTTAACCTATCTACATTTTACATGTAACTTACTCCAGACTAATATATATTGAATTCGGTTTATTTGGAATGAATGTCGATCAAGGTCCCTTCATTTAAATGTAAACGAATTAGACTGTATCATAATACTAGTACTAGTCATAATCCAAATCTGACTGTGTGCAAGGGCCTTCATGCAAATCAATTTCATAACAATTTTATCAAAATTATTCGTTGGGATGCATTAAATAACTATGTGTTTCATCAAAATTCTGTACGACTGCTTTTGTCTGAGAACATTTTTCCAGTATAAGATTTTCAGAAAGACGAAAGGCTTGTTTAAAGTATCTATCAATAGATATTTAAAATTTTTATTCTTGACTTCCATAGAGGAAAACCCCTCATACTTGTTATACAGGTTTTCCACCCTTAATGCTTAGTTAATTTCATTTTGCTTGGATATCTATTGCCGACCTTTTATGTATTATATGGCCCAGGAAAAAAAAAATAAAATTACATACTTACCGTACCCCAAAGAATGGGTGAATCTTGATAAGAAACAAAATATCCAGAGTAGAAAATTGTTCAGGTGATTCATTTTCAAAAAGATGTATTAAAATTCCCTAAAAATCTTCACTGAAAATTATGCTTTTATAAACCCGGAAGTAAATTTTTAATGAATACAAAACATGTTATGGAAGAGTGTATCAGAAATAGCTAAGTATTGTAAAATATTCGCATTTTTATACAGTAAGTTCTTTTTTTTTTAGCTTCTTTTTTTTTTTTTTTTGCTTGAACACATTGTTTATATTTATGCCATTCTAAAAAAAAAAAAAAAAAAAAAAAAAAAAAAAAAAAAAAACATATTCAAGTTTAAAATTTGAATCTCAACACATTGGAATATATGTTTATTTAAATGTCTTAACATATCTCTCGAATGACCTAAATTGATACACTATCATCGTCTCGCCTTAACAATAACCAAAATAATGACAAAATGTTAAATGTAGATTAACGATATATATGTAACACTAATGTGGTCACCAAAAAAATGTCAATCATTTTAACAATTTGAAATAAAAGAATACTGAGAATGTAGCTAAGTATTAAGCGATTTACATGCATTTTAGAAGTTTCAAATTTAAAATCTAGATTTAAGGCAATCAGATAACAATCAAGTAACACATCGGTCATCATTTGAATGTAAACTTCGTGCGATGCTTGCTTCTCAATTCGAATTATTGTTCCTCTGTTGTTCTTTAGAAGATTTTTTTCATAGATATTTCCTATATATATCAACGTTAACGTAACCTCTTGAGGCGGCAACCTAGACATGCAATCATATTTTGAACAAACCTAACTCTACATTACATACAGCTGCTATTATATAGAATGATTTATCGTGGTCCAGTTTTCTTGAGGAGAAGGTATTCAAAAATTTTCCCTTCATATTACTAGTAGTAGATGATAGACAATCATGCACCATAAAGGAACTAGTCATTGATTTCGTCACACCATATGTATTATGGTATGCACAATCTGTGCATCTTCAATTTTGACAGATTTGATCTTTACCATGGGTTTCCACATCATATTCCATGTGCAGAATATGTATTTTGATACATACTGTATCCAGAAGTACTCATAAGTCTACATAGTATACAAAAGAAGATATAAGTTGAATGATTCATTTGAAAAGTTACAAAAATAAAACAACGCAATGAATATCATACTACTCTTTTTCAAGAAGTGTAATTTGTGAATAATTATATACTACTATGGGAGACTTGTGCTCAAATAGATGATTATTTCTGTGAAAAAAAATATCTCACTGGAAATAAAGGGATTCTGACATTTGTGAAGAGCTAAAGTAGCAATTCAAAGCCGTCTGTGTAAGAATCAGAAATTTCAATTAAACTATCATAAAATCACTGTATTTTATGAGAATATATTTTCGTGGTCTTGTCATAATATGTAGGTCTGTGGATACTTGTACTAAAACTGTACCAAATCATTTTTACATGCCGTGGGGTACATGAATTCGCTGGTCTCTTCATACAACAAAAACAACAAAAATAATTTTAATATGTAATCTTTATTGTAGGTGGTATTTAAGTGAAATTTCTTAGTATTTACATTTTGCAGTGTTTATATCAAAGTTACAAATCTTTAACATTTCTGGAGAAAGATCGATTAAAAACAAAAACATATTTCATGTCGGTATTATATAAAATGGTGTTCTATTTTGTTGAATGCACTCATTTTAAGTTTAAAGTTTTTGACTTGATAGTTCTATTTTTATTCCTTGTTTGTAGTCTGTCCCTTTTGTTTCCGTTTTCTTATATTTCAAACCGAATATATAAACGTTTGACAACTTTAAAATGTTTTATTTGTAGTAGCAACTTTTGAAATTGCTAAATTAGGATGAGAACAAATAAATATTAACACAATGAAAGACAACATTTCACAGATGTATAATATAATGTGACCCAAAGACTTAGCTTAATGGCTATCAACTTTGATATTTAGATCCATAAGTACTATATACTCTACAGTGTTCATACATTTTCGTTATGCACTTAGAATACTCTTCACGAGTACCACTTTGTAAGAGGAAGAACCTTTTGTCCGTTATACTCATTGTATACTTATGCGTTTATTTTATATTGTAGACAAAAATCGTGTGATATTTTGTCACATACATTTTTCACATCACTTAATACAATTTAAGCAATAAGAAAATATGAATGGTCGATATTTGATTACATTAAAACATTCAGAAAAATGGTGAGCAAATGATAGATGTAAAAGAAATTCAAAGGTGAATATTCATTTTTTTCTACATTTCGAAGATTTTTTGCTTCCCAATTCCTTGCCTTGGATTGATCTCTAGCGCCTGGAGGTACAATATGTAGACATTGTTGTGGTAAACAAAGTGTTGCTGAGAAAACATCCAAGTGGGTAAAGATTTGCAGTTTGGAAGAAAAAAAAAGGCAAGATATATAACATAATGAAGACAAAAGGTAATTAGCCATTATAGATCTTTAAACTAAAATCCTAAGTATGCCTTTTTTTCCCTCCATTTTTACATTTTTATTGGCTACTATGCATGAAACCCGAGATTCAATGATGTTAATTTTGAGACGTGGGTCAAAATATGCAAAATTCAGGCTAAGGATATAATGTTAATTCTATCTTGACTTGTTTATTACATCTGCAAATTTTGACAAAGTATGTTAAATAGATGTGTAAATTTTGTTATAAATACCTGTTTATCACTTGAAACCCACATTGAATATTTGAAGCATATACTAACGTAAAAATTTCTAGCAATAAAAATACATGACTGTATGTATTAACAAGGTTCCAACAGGTTGAATAAAATAAATTTTTAGATTTTGATAATTTTCTTCAAAATATCCTTCCACCACATGAAGTTCTTCATAAATCATATCTCAAATGTACTAAGTGAGGGTATCTTTTAAAATAGCTCTAAACACTACACACTAAGGAGTTGAACTACTTGAACGGTAGTTTTATGCAGTAAGAGTGATTTGCCCTTAGAATTAAGATAGAAAAGATGGTTGTTTACAGTTAATTACACAAATTGTAATGGATTAAAATATTCTTAGCATTATATTAGACCAAGAATTAGGAATTGAATTCATTATTCACATTAATTTCCCAACAGTAAGCAACAGTGATTTTTGTTCACGAATAGTCCATTGTCTTTGAACATTGTTCCTGTAAAGGCAGGTACCCTAGCTGTATCAAAAATGAACTAAATAGTCTCAATATGCACACCTTTATATGATAAATTTTTCTCCAAGTCCAAAAAGTACTGAAAGCATCTAGTTGTAAATAAAATTTAGATAACGGTTAAAATAATTGAAAATGAAATCTGAGTGTTTGCTTATTAAAACCTGAAGTACTACAAATTAGCAGTACAAGGTAAACAATAAACAATAAAAGAATCTCATTAACTAGAACCCAGAGACTGAATAAAACTAAGTTTAAGTACTCAACAATCACATATTCTTTTTTTTTTAAAATTAAAGTGTCTACATGCTTTGGCTTGTCCCCTGCTATAGAAAAGATGCGTACGGGTAGCACACTTATACCTCGCCCTGGTATGCAGAAGTACATTTAAGCAAGTACTGTTACGAGTGGACCTGTTCTTTTTTTCCACGGATTTAATGCATTAGCATTCACTGGGATACCAAGGCAGCTCTTGTACAGCAATATCTCATCCTCTGCTGTCTGAAGCTTATATTTTTTCAAGGTTGGTACAAATCCCCAAGGAAGTCACAAAGGGTACTAGATAAAGGTTTATATTGAATTTTCATGATCTTTGGAGGAATAGAATTCTCCTCAGGAAGGTGAAGAACAGAATCATCTGAAACAGTAGGTAGTGCAGGCAAAGGAGGTGTCTAGATTGTCAACATTGTCCACTGGCTCGGTCTCCACAGTAATCTGTGTTTTTGTTTGAGAAAGATTTCCTGACTCTCTCACTAACTTGTCAAAAACTGACAATTGGTCCTCCTCAGGTAAATATGGTAGTGTTTAGAATCGAGGATCAAGGGCTGTAACTTTGTCCATTATGTTTTCTTTTGTAGCATATTTTTCTTACGATTCAAAGACATTGACTATTTTATGTTTACTATTGTTGAAGTTCTTTTGGGAGAAGAACATGATTAAGAAGCTGGTAATGAATGGGCAAAATAATGGAAGCTGTAGGAATTGTTTCACTGCACATTTATGTGGTAATTGCCTTCAATGATAGGCAGGTCACATCATCTTCAGCAAGGGTAGTTTCATCATCAGAGAGAAACATTAATATTTTATCCTTGTTAATAAGATCCTTGCTTACTAGGACACTAACTACAGCTGTCTGCAAATACCTCTCCAGCATCTCATATGCACAATTCCACCTGGTGCAATCATCAATAACTAGGCTGTGAAAATTAAGTTCTAGTCGAGATGCTTGTGTTATCAGCAATAGATGCATCACTGCCCCTGTGAATAAAAAAAAAACTCAACTATCTTTCTGACTCGTGAAACTGATTAGATTCAAAAACATTTCTGAACAGGTAAGTTTAGAGTTTGGGTGTAGCATCCAAGATGAAGTTCACACTTCTGGTCTAGTCAAATTTACTGCATTATCTGAAAACATAAAGAGCGGTGTCCTTGGTATGTTCCATTCATCCAAAACTTTTATAGACGCCTCAGCAAGGTTTTCATCGAAAATTAATATAAAGTTCAAAAGTTTTCATCACTTAGATTTTTTAAGAGTATTTACTAAAATATTTGGATAATTAAATAAATTTACCTGTGTGACTTTCAGACAGACAACTAGTCTAAAGAACAAAATTCTGCAATTCTCATTCATCAGTAATGTGAATCGATGTTATGGTCACATAAGACTCAGTGGATCTTGAAGTCCATCAATCAGTTGTAATAGCAATTTATCAAGATATAGGAGAATGGATTAGAATAACTCAAATGATTTTTTAGTTAAGATTAAAAAATAAAACTCTGGCTATTGAAATAACATAAAATATTTATGTAGCAATATACATGTACCCTTATCACTGCATATGGGGTT